ATCGTTTCTTCCTTCGCGAAACTTCGAATACATCATTTTATTGTATTTTTTTTTTTTGGATTGCGAATAATGGGCCCGGTCGAATATTTTTAGAAAGAGCAAGCAATAATGTCATGACAGCAGCATAGGTCACGCGGATCTGTAAATATGTTTTCCGTTTCGCTGCTGCGGATCGACTTCTCTCATTCCATTTTGCAGTGGCTCATTCAATACGTGCGTCATATTTACGAGCTCCGCGAGGTCGCTCAATCGCTCGTAAAATTTACGAGCACACTTGACCTCGTTCGAACGAGGACATCCGATCTTCCTTCGACTCATTGTCAGTCAACACCTTCAATTTTTCAACGTGAGGCCGCAAACATCTTTGCGACTATGCCCGGATAACCGTGGTTTCAGCGCGGTGGCTAATGAATTTTACATACACAGAAACGTCGCTTGAGTGCAAGACAATAATAGCTTGAAAATGAAAGCGCGAGACAAGAGCAAATAATAATAAACCGATACATACAGATACATACAGACATCTAAAAGTATTCTTAGTTTTCAGCCCTCGCCTCTCATCGATCGGTGTTTTTCGTTAATAACTGGTAAACAGAGCCGCAGATTGCATTTTCGCTAAGGAAAAAGTTGCTTAGAATGGCCTCTGCTACCCCCCCCCCCCTCCATTTCCATATTATGAAACATTTTTGGGACACCCTGTAGAATGTACTATGGTGATTTCAACGTAACAAGCCAGATGTACAGAGTGTACATAAATTATACGTCACGGCCACCATAACGTGATTCTACGCCTCTGGATCGGTGGTGATCTGCTAAAAAAAATGTATCCCAAAATTGCCCTTGATCCTGAAGATCAAGGTGAAAGGATCAAATTTTCTTATTGCAACGTATAGTACTCATCGAGAGGAGCAAAAGTCTGAAAGGAATCATGGATCTCGAGTCAACCCTTTACATAAGAAACGATGTTGAAGACGGCATATAAGATATATATAGGGTGTCTCCAAAATCGTAGTGCAATAGGCCAGGAAGTTATTGTACATGCAAAAGTAAGTCGAGAAATAAGAATAAAATGTTTTCGTTAAGAAACTGTTTTCAAAAAAAATTAAGTTGAAAAAATAATACCATTAAATAGGAATGAAGTGGCGTGCCTAACTATGGCATACTAATTCTACTTATTATCATATTGGGTTGGCAACTAAGTAATTGCCGATTTTTTCAATGAAATAAACAATTTTTTTTTACTTGGAATGAAGTTTAATCTGTAATGTATTTTCCATTTTGTTCAATGACCTTTTGCCATCTCTCTGACAACTTGAAAATTCCACGCTCGTAGAAAGTCTGATCCTTTTCGGCCAAAAACTGAGTTAAGTGAGATTTTACAGCGTCGTCATCATTAAAAATTCTACCACAAAGAGAGTTGTCCAGGGATCGAAATAAATGGTAATCCGATGGCGCGAGATCAGGGCTATATGATGGGTGTAACATCAATTCCCAAGCAATATCCAAAGACGTGTGCGGCCTAGCATTGTCCTGGTGGAAAATGACACCTTTACGATTGACCAATTCCGGTCGCTTTTCCTTGACCGCTGCATTCAATTTGTTCAGTTGCTAACATTCACGGATAATAAAAAATAACATAATAATAATAATAATAATAATAATAATAATAATAATAATAATAATTTTATAATATAACATTTACGGATATCATAAAAATGGGAGTGAAAGACATCTATAACTGAAATCGACAATTACTTAGTTGCCAACCCAATAGTACAAGCCACGTGAACTACGCGCATCTTCCAACTCAGTTTTATCGGAAACAGAGAATTGAATGAAAAAAATTGTACGGCCAATTGTACCACGATTTTGGGTGTGGTAATCGTGACATATAATTTGTATACGTCGTTTTTAGCATCGTTTTTTATGTAACGCATAGACTCGAAACCCATCGTTCCTTTCAGGCTTTCTCTCAATAAGTACTGTATGTATACATTGCAATAAAAAGAAAATTGACCTTTCGATCTTGATTTTCATAACCTTGATTTTCGTGGCCAATCTTTTTAGCAGATCTTCGCTGATCCAGATTTGTAGAATTACGCTACGGTCGTCGTGACACACAATTTTTATACATCCTGTACTCGTATCGCGTTCCATAGATTTTTCCAACAATAATCCGCAACAAGAGCACGCACAACTATTTGTTCGTTACATTTTTATATGCTTTTCGGCCCGTGGTTAGAAACTTCAGCCAGATTGTAGACCGTGAACTAGCAAAAAAGTCTTCGAGTTTCTCCCATTATTAGGCCGCGCATGTTTATGCATTCGCAGAATATTCCACGATACTGATAGCCTATTATTAACACCGTGGAACATCTAGTACGGAACATATCTGTTCTTCGTGTCTCGATACCGGCGTTCAAATACAGGCGTTTATACTTCGCGTAAACACCTCATCGGTCCGACATCTTTTCTGCTTCCAAGCAGAAATTATAATATTAATATATATATATAATGATATTATATATATCGAAAATGATCTTACATCGTCCAATCTCCATCAAAAAATTTCTCGGAAAATCAAAGTAAACCATCCCAGAGCCCGGTATGCGATCGAAACGCTTGTGTGCCAAGTTGATTTAAGGAAAATTAACATTCGAAGCGCATTCATATGGAACCAAACGATTTTCCGAATCACCGTGAATCACTTGCAAGAACTTCTACGAACTTCTGGGGAAACTTTTCGAGAAAGTTTTTCATGTACATCGAAGAATCTTAAAACTCGGCGGTCCTCGATCATCGAAGAAAAAGCGATCGTTCGATCGAAGGCGCTCAGAGTTAAATGACCCGTCCGTGGACTCTCGAAACGCGTGTAACTCTTCTCGTGTGCTTCCGTTTGTTCTTCTTTTCCCGCGTGTTCTCCTTCTACTCCCGAGTTCCTCCTCGTTCTTCTTCTTGTTCCTCGGTGTTCCGCCTGTAAGCTAGCCAGAGACCGAGCGTCTGACTCAGCCGCTCGGGCTGGAAACGGCTGGAAACATGCTCGCGGCACGTTAGTTAAGTGTAGAGTAAGTGTGGCAGTAGGATGCGAGGAACCGTTAGCTCGGCACCGGCTATTTTTATTATTATTGTCGTTGCGCTACACTTTAACCGTACTCGAGAACGAAAGCGGCCGCTCCGAGAGAGATCGTCCCGCGTCGAAACTGACCTATAAAACTGATCCGAGCCGTTCCGTGGTCCATCGAGTTTCCCCAATTCGATCGAACACGAATAAAGACTTGGCTGCGGCGCTTTTATTGCCTCCACAGTCTTCCGCGGCGTCCTGGATCGTAATTTTCGTAAAAAGTATCCGCCGGCGATCGTTATCGGAGCAAACGATAGAAATGTTCGGCATCCGACGATGCCTTTCCTCGGGACTCAATTCCACTTATCTTATCGATCACGATCTTGGCGATCTAAAAGTCGTAAACATCGGAAAAAGGGTATCGGTCTCGTTGTGTTCGATAAAACTTAAACAGGAAGCTCGTGTTTCCATTCGATCGGACTGCAGCTATAATCGAAGAAAAATGCTTGTTACGGGTTTCCACTGATTGGCATTGTTCCCATGCACGATAAATGTTGATGACGGATAGAATGCCGATTTTATATACGTATAATAATTTCTGACTGACTGGTGCCGTTAATGAAAACTTTTACCGAGGCATTCATTGTTCCAACTCCAATTTCAAGAGATATTAATCCGTAAAAACATTTGAACGTTTGAATGGCGGAACTTTTTACAGAGATATTATTCAGTGATCGAGCATGCTTTGGATCATTTATTAACTTTATTTACCAATTTTGTTCACTGTATTCTTCGATATCCTTTGTCGAGTCTGACTCGTGACTCGTGGAGATTTCTAATAATAGTTTGTCGAGTATGAAAATGTTATTCCGTTCTTTTAAATCGGAATAAAAATCTTGTTCTCTTGTCGTCAATATTTATGCGTTCAAGTAAGTTTAGGCACAGCGGAGATATAAATTTTCTTTTGCTTCTAAGAAATTGTTACAGTCGAAATGAAGATAATGATTAAATGAAGATAATGGCTTAAAGTACAGTAATTTCGCCTACATCGTACAGAAATATCTTAGAAGAAAATACACGACGAATACGAACACCTAGGCTTCAGCTTTATTTTTCTACGTATTAGAGTAAATTGTCTCCAATTGTCACTCAACACTTAAACAGAAACGGACAATTTGGGAAGGGAAGATACGATTATTCGAGCCATTTGCGGCTCATTTTTATAGATGTTGACAATCGGTAACTATAAAAACAAGCCGCAAGGCTCGAGTAATCGTATCTTCTCTTTCAAAATTGTCCATTTCTGAGCGCAATCTGAGCGCGAATTGGGGAGAAATTATTGTACTCGTTCCAGACACGTGATCTTTTCTATAAACCTTAATAAAACATAGTAGAAATTTGAATTAATTGTCAGAAAGTGAACACCAGATTTACGGAATCCGTCAAACTGACGGATCACTAATTTTTTAATTTACGATTATTCATATCGTAAATATACATTTATGAGTAATTTATTCAATTCATATGTTACTTACTGCAAATGTTACAATGATCTGTGTTAAAAATCAGAATAAATGTCTTATTGTTACTTTTACGAACTAATATAAAACAGCTGTTTTTTGTGCTCCGTAAAAATCTAGCGTTAATAACGATATTTATACTCGGGGCTGCACAGATCCAAGCCCCGCCGTTCGAGTGTTAATATTAACTGTAATAAGGGCTAAAAATTACTGATACCTAATGCCTTATAAAAGTTACAAGATCGAATTTACTCAGAAATTTTGCAATTCCTATATCAATATATCCGAATGAAGTTAACTGATTGTCCGATGAAAGTATCCCCATAATTTCAACAATTGTAGAATATAAATAGCAAAACCGGTCGTTTGACCGGCGACGAGAATATCTAGACTTGATCGAACCGTCCGTCGCATTCCAGAGCCAGCATTAAAGTCAGTAGGTCGATGCCCATCCTTCGAGGAGCAGAACGTGTGTCCGGCCAGGTCTCCAGCCTGCAAGAATGATTTCCAGTGTCAGGCGTCCGGGGAGCGATGTTGCAAGACAGCGTGCGGTCTCAGATGCGTCGTCGGCGAGCTGACAGGATGCGAGCAGTTGGCGCAGGCTGCGGTGAGGAGGTCGCGTGCACTCGGCCCACGTGGACCGTCGCAATTCATTCCACGTTGCAACAACGAAACCGGCGAATTTGAAAGAATACAATGCGACCCCCGCGAGAACAGCTGCTGGTGCGTCGACGAGATCGGCGTCGAGCTGCCAGGGACCAGAGGATCGTCGAAGGACGTCATCGACTGCGACCATCCTCGCGACTGTCCGGCGCACAGCTGTCGCATGCTGTGTCCGTTGGGCTTCGAGGTAATCGCCTGTTCCAATTTGAAAATAATAAATTCAACGTGAATTTCTAAGATGAATTCGTGACAAGATTTTAATGGAACGTGCATCGGATACGTTCATGTATGTTATTTCGTAAGAACGATAAGATTGGATTTATATAAATATGTGCGAACACCTTTTAATTCTTTACACTCGAGGCCGTTTTAACTCTAAATGCAAAATAGTTTTTAAGAACATACTTTCCGCGTTTACTGTATGCTCGAGCGGAGAATTTTATCGAAAAGTCTCTCATAGAAACACGTACAGTAAGTTCTGCTTAATTGACGCTCAAATTGTACACGAAAAAAAATGGACAATTTGAGAAGAGTTGATACGATTATACGAGCCTCGCGGCTCGTTTTTATAGTTTCACCGATCGTCAACAACTATAAAAACGAGTCGCGAGACTCGAATAATCGTATCTCCTCTTCCCAAATTGTTCATTTCTTTTTTGTACAAGCTGAGGGTCATTTGGGGAGAATTTACTGTAATTGTAAAAGAAGAAATCAGAAATCAATCGTTGCGATCGGTTCGGTAGCTCTGGTGTTAAGGGTTTACGGAACCGTGCATCGAATCCTGAAGTAGCAAATATATAAGTGATCCAGATCACTTGACTCGGATCATCTGTTTTCAGCGAGAGAATGCAATTAACGTGCGAACTGTTTGCAGATCGAGCCCAAGTCGGGCTGCCCTAAATGCGAGTGCCGTGACCCCTGCCGAGGGATCACCTGTCCCGGGGCCAGCCAGACATGCGAGCTGATCGACGCGACGTGTGCCCGTCCACCTTGCCCGCCGATCCCCAGCTGTCGCAAAGCGAAGTCCCTGTCGACGATCTGTCCTGCAGGCGAGCCGTTGCAAATCACCGACTCGCCACGGCCGTTCCTCTGCGGCGACTCGCCTGGCAAGCCTAGCTGCCCGCCGATGTACAGCTGCCTGGTCGAGCCGAAGCAGGAATACGGGGTCTGTTGTCCGTCCAGCATAAATCTGAAGAGACCGGGAACCTGTCCCGTCGAGGAGCCCGCGATCTGCGGTAACTCCTGCCAGCATGATTTAGAATGTCCCGGCCCGCAGAAGTGTTGCAACAGCGAGCGCTGCGGCGGCGGCGTTTGCACGGTTCCTCAGGGTCTCAGCGCCTGCCATCGGGACCGGGTGCTCGCCGAGATGCTCAGCATCTCCGAGCGGCAAGGACGAGGATATGTTCCGCAGTGCAGCGACGGTAAGATTGGGAATCGTTGCGGAATGATTCTGAGCGATCACGAAAGAGTTCCGATAAGTATTTAAAGAATGCTAGCAGGAAGCGCGTGTATTAAATGAAATATGTAAAGTTTAGAGACACAAAAGCTAACGATAAGTAATTGTGGAAGCACGTGAGAACGTAAAACTCTGTGCGAATTGATCAAAGAATAATATAGAGGCTCGTTGTCGTTCGTGTACATCGATAAGTTTCATATTTTAGATGGAGGCTATGAGTCGAGACAATGCTCGAGGAACGGTTTAGTCTGTTGGTGTGTGGATAATAATGGCAGGAAGATATCTGGCTCTATGGGACCGGCCGAGAAAGTCGATTGCAAGTCGATAACGAAGGGAAGGTCTCTTCCGGCATCGTGCGTTTCCCAGCAGTGTGCCCAAGTTTGCCAATACGGGTTCAAGACCGACGCCTCCGGGTGCCCTACTTGCGAATGCGACAATCCCTGCGAAGGGTAAGTTCGCCGATTCGGTAGGCTGTTGAATGAATTCTACTTCCTCCACTAAATAATTCTACTGCATTGTGGAAAATATACAAACGAAACAAATGCATACTTTAAGCAAGACTCTATACTCTGGATTACCTGATTTTTAGTCATTTGTTTGTTTTCTCTTTTTTCTTTTCTTTTAGGTTTCCCTGTCCAGAGAAAGAGGAATGCGTGTTGAGTAAAGAAGACGGCTGTCCGGATTTTCTCTGTCCAACGAAACCAGAATGCAAGCCCAAGAAAGCCTACAAGAGTCCTTGCGCTTACGGGACCCCATTGATCGACAATGAACGAAACGCGGTCACTTGTTCCGAGAACGATACCTGTCCACAGGGTTACAAGTGTTCTGCCGTACCGGAGGCTGGCCAGTCAGTGTGCTGCATGGCGTTGACGAACTCGACGAAACCGCAGACTAGTATGACAAAATATAACATGTCTGCTACCAACGTCGCGCGCGACACATTCACTTTGAAAATCGTGTAACTCGCTGCTTTATCTTATCCAGCATTTTCTCTAGTTTTTACATCGATCTATGATTCTTAAACTAACTTGTATCTTATATCCAACCAAGGGTTGCACCATTTTCAAAATAACCATATACACATACATAGATAGCACCAACTTGTTCAGATGTTTGTCCGAGGTCTGTTCAAATTACTGCTTAAAGCGTGAAACATGTAAGCGACGTTCAATGAAATTATCGAGTTATCATTGATCGTTAAACAGGATATTTATAAAACTTAAGCAACTAATAAATCTGATATACCGTAATACTGTGATGCGTCCGAGAGACCAACTGAATAACGTTCGGCGGAAGACGAAGTCTTGTTCGACCACACGAGCATAATCTATCGTAGATTACATACATCCTTTGTACATACGTTCGATGTCTAATGGAAGTATAAACTTGGTTACAGTGTGCGAGTACTTGCGAGAATTCAATGACCGCATGGAGGGCACCAGGGAGGACATGTCCTTAGCGATCCAAGCACCTCAATGCGAGAAGGACGGCAGCTACAAGCCTCTGCAGTGCCACAACGACACCTGTACCTGCGTGAACGACCATGGAGTGACCTTGAAAACCGGCGTGAATCGCAGTGCCGATTGCAACGAGATGAAGGATCTTCTGAAACTCTGCGGATCACTGACCTGCGACCTGGTCTGTCCCTACGGGTACGAGGTAGACGCGACCGGATGCGATCAGTGTCGTTGTCACGATCCTTGCAACGACGTGGCCTGTGCTCCTCACGAGACCTGTACGATGGTAGACGTAAACTGCGGTTTTGGGCAGTACTGTCCAGCGGTGCCAGCATGTCTAGCCATGAAACCAGGCCAGTGTCCCTACTTGGTGCCCAGCTCGTCCAGCTGCGAGCTGCAATGCAGCAACGATCAAGAATGCTCCGCGTCGGAGAAGTGTTGCTCGACGGGTTGCGGGACACAGTGCGTGGCTCCTGTAATGGCCACCGCTTGTCAGCACGCGCGAGCTGTCGCGGAACACGCTGCCAGAGAGTCCGGCGAGCCTGCCAGAAGGATTTACATTCCCAGATGCGACGCTGGCGGAGCATTCGAGCCGGTCCAGTGTCACAACGGGATGTGCTGGTGCGTGGACGAGGAAGGCAGAGAAGCTGCGGGCACCCGTGTCCTCGAGGGCGTGATACCGAAGTGCAGCACGCCGCTCAGGTGTCCAGAAATCGACTGCAAGCTGGACTGTCCCGAAGGATTCGAGCTGGACCCCGACAGCGGATGTCCCACGTGCTCGTGTCGGGATCCTTGCAGAAGCGTGACCTGCAGAGGGGAGAACGAAGCGTGCAGAATGGTGGAGGTGGCTTGCAGCGTGCCGCCTTGCCCCCCTGTCCCCGTGTGTCTGCCGAAGAAAGATAACCCTTGCCCGAACGGCTCTCCGCTCTTGGACCAAGACGGTTCTCCAGCGACTTGCGGCCCCCATGGGCATCACTGTCCATCGACCCACAAGTGCGAACTGTCTCCGCTGGACGAGTACGCTGTCTGTTGCCCGAAGCCTCGGGAGGTCTGCTTCGAGCCTCCCAGGAAGGTGGTCTGCAACCCCGGCATGGGTTTCAACGAGACGGATAGATGGTACTTCGACCCGGAGCGGAATGAATGCAGGCGGAAGACCGAGTGCACCCTGGGGCACAACGACTTCTCCAGTCGGCTGGTCTGCGACACGGTGTGCCCGGTGTTGTCGCAATGCGAGAGACTGCGCGAGAAAAACTTGAAAACGTCTCAAAGGCTGAAGCAGCCCACGTTCCTGCCCAGATGCGACCCAGAAACCGGAATGTGGGAGCCGGTGCAGTGCCTCGAGCATGTCGGCGTCTGCTGGTGTGTCAATAGAAAGGGTCAACCCGTGAAGGGATCCCTTACCAGGGGACCAGAGCCCAAGTGTAACTTTAGGCAAGCGAGGAGAGGAGGTAGGGGGCCGGCGGTACAAGAAATCGACCGTGAAATTCAGGCGTTCATGGAGAACGCTTTGATCAACTTGGAGACCGACGAGAAGCAGATCGGGAAGGTATTGGGTACTAGGTGTCAGGCGATGAAGGACAAAGGCCACGTTCCGGCTATCTGCGACCGTCAGGGAAGATTCGAGCCGACCCAGTGCGCTGGCGACACATGCTGGTGCGTCGACGAGGCAGGCAATCAGCTCATTGGCTCCGAGCCTTTCCTCAAGGGAACCAATATTTGCTGTAAGTCGTGCTGCCGCGTTCTTCTACAAAGAGGAATGCACTTAGTCATACGACATTATTTATGGACGCGACTAGTATTCACTTGAAGTAATCGATGAATCTATTCTACGATCTGTAACGGAGTTATTCTTCGCAACAAAGTATTAGTAAGAATAAAATATGGATCGATATTCTATTAATATCAGTTAAAATCCACGGTCTAATTATATTACTGCTAACGTGACAGGCAGAATGTATTCCTTTATGTTTTTATTTAAGACGACCATTGGTCTTCGAGCTAAAAGCGAATTGATACGCTTGGTGTGTGTTCATATTTTCCATTTGTATTTCAGTGCCGACTCCGGTGGAAGCTGTCGAAGTGACCCTGCGTTTTCCCGGTCGGTTTCTGGCGAGCGACGAAGCTACCTTCGTCAGACAAACGGAGAACTTCCTGCGCGATTTAGGAGCCAGACTAAGGAACGACGTTCGAGTGGAGATCAATCAAGACTCGGCTATACTTAGCTTCGAAATAATAGGCCCCAATAAAGTTGACATAGCGTTCCACCTGGAGGAATTAACCCGAATACAGAAGTTGTCCATGCTTGGATCGTTCGCGGACGCGACCACGTCACGCTTTACGCACAGAGCGACGCCCATGGCTATGCAGAGCCGAATTGTCGCACTTGAGCAACGGGAAATCCTGACGGAAGTGGAAACACCCGTTTATCAGACAGCCACTCTGGTTTTAGCGGCGGGAAGCGCTTTCATAATCAGCAGCCTATTAATTCTGCTGATGTTATACCGCAAGAAAGTATGTTTTCTCGAATATCTATCGTGTACAGTATGTTTCATAACAGGATTGAACTAACGAACGCTTTGCGGCAGATCCTGCACAATGTTTCAAGTCTGTCCTGTCATGGAGCACAAAGTATAGACTAGCGTATTTTATGGTTCATGGACCGTGAAGATTTACTTCATTTTCGTTTCAGATCAAAATGAAGGATCCAACGAAATTACTAGCGGCGGACCAGCATTTCCTTGCGTACCAGCAACCAGTGTATGTGATATCGGGGGTGGATCAGGAGGACAAGAAGAAGGAAGCCGCCGAGATGCAGGAGAGTACGTCCACGACGGACGTGATCGGTGCATAGGAACGATTTGCAGCGGGATCGTCCACGCGCGAATCGTTCTCACCTCGTATCCAAATATAGTCACAATTAGACTGCGGATGTTTATGCGAACTCATGCCTCGTCGCAGGAATTGATTTCATCTGCCGAAAATATTCATCGATCAACGATAAAAGCGGGAGGTTTAAATTCAACTGACAAATATTACAGTCGGACAAAAAGGCAATATTTTGCTCACGAGATGATCTGATTCGTTCGAAATGTTTCTCTCATCTTGGACAGCTCGCGGAGCCGTATTTATTGCGCATTCTCCATAAACGTCTGCAGTCTAGTCATAATCGCAGTCAACGACTGCATAATCCGTCTCCCTTTTTTCGACAAAATATTTATTCTTTGATTACGAGATGCATCGCGATTGCTCGAATCGACGGTCGACCGAATGGTTCGCAAGTGGTATGTACCTCCTTCCGTAAGACAAGGAGAAAAAGAAAGGACGGGTTCCGGGGATCCGTAGAATCCACGGAATAGGATGTACGTTACTTGCGATACTTCAAGGAAGGGAGAGGGGAAGGGCAGTCTCAGTAAACGTACAAGGATTCGGTCGATCGCCGAGAATGTAGTTCTTTATTTAGAACGGTCAGATTTTCTCGCGGGTTTCTCGGTTTCCGTCTCTACGTCGGAACCGCCAACGCAAAAATGTCCTGGCCCGGTGGTTTAATGCGAGGATGTCATTGCGTTGTTCGTATCGTGGGTGTAAATACTAGATTCATACTATGTTCGTTTATTTATATAGCTCAATAAAGACGAGAAATTCCTCTATGCGCCGATACCCGTTATTTCCCGGTATAAATACAGTATAAGTGCTGGAAAACGTTCAAATATGCTCGAACTACTTCAAACTTAAACATAACTACATTTCAAGCTATTTCGAAAACATTTAGACTGTTCGAACATTATTTTTACCGAAAACATCCAAACGATCGCTTGCTTAGATCTTTTTTTTACAATTTTTATGAAACAATTTATTATTTAACATTATATTATTATTTAACAAGCTATAAAGGACTCTTAAGAAAATTGAATCAAACACCTGTCACCAACAAGTAAAAAATGATCTCTGACAATTCTTAATAAAAACAATATTCGAATAGTTAGAAATATTTGGTATAATTCAAAGTTCGAACTTGAAACCAAACTTCAATCATAGCCCTAGCCGGTACGTTCCATCGTACTCTGGAGTGCAGTACGTCCAATCAGAAACCTGTTTCCCTAAAACCGAAGCAGCAATTTGTCCTGCGCGTAACAGTTCTGAGGCATTCTAACAATTACCACAATAGAAAAAAGAAAGCTATTATCTTCCACCATTGGTCGCGTATTTGAAATCAAACGACAGCGTTCGAATTTGTCAGCAATAGCTGGAATCAAGTGCCATAAGTAGAAGCGCGCTTTTTTTAGCCAGACGTCCGACCAATCAGATGCCTACGCACCGTCCTAGTTGCTTCTACTTGCTTCGCAAGCTCCGCCGGGTGAACATGACCGACGGTGAATATTCCATTCACTGGAAAAGCTGATTTCATGATCATTCTATTATACGGCGACAAGACAAACGATTAAACGATATGGCAAAGCGATGATTTCCACCTGTGAAGTATTGGTCTGTTTTGGAACGGGGGAAAAAGAGAAAATCGTTTGGAGGGCAGGTGGAAACGCAGCCTGAGCTTTCAACGAGAACGTCCGAAAGATTCCGAACGGGATCCGAGGCCGAGATCGTGTCGCCCTTTAGGCGAGAAGCGCGGAGTGACCAATCGAGCGGTTCGGGTTGGTGGGGGCTGCGAAGGGACGGTAAACGAGTGCTTATCGCGATACGTCGTCCTCGTAATCGCGAGACGAGATCCTCCGCGTGTTGTAACTAGTGTCGTAATCGTCGAGTGAAACGACGCCAACGATATAACTGAGGCGGTTGCAAAGCAAGCACGAAGGATAGGGAATCGAGGGAAGGAGAAGAAAGAGGAGCTTAATGGCTCTCAGGAGATCGGAAATACAAGGACAGGGCTTGCACTCGCGTACAGGACGTCTCGCAATAAGTAGCATCGGGTTGCTGATTCCGCATCCGTTTGATTCGCGTCTGAACGACGGTCCTCTGTTATTGTCGTCGCCGCCGTCGCCGTCGTCGTTGCGAATTCAGCTTCCGTTTCCGTGCCTGTTATCCGTGAAGCGGGCTGAGTGTTTATAACTGCACGGTGCTGGTGGCGGTGACGAAGGGAAAGGGAGGCGGAGACGGAGAAGGGGAAGAAACTTAAAGGAGAGATAAAGAGAAATAGAGAGACATACACACACACACACACACGTACAAGGGATATATATACGGACAGGATAGAGTTTATACGCGTGTGCGAGAATACAAGGTGGAAAAAGAGACGAAGGAAGAGAGAGAGAGAGAGAGAGGGAGAGTGAGCGAGAGGCAAAGGCTCGTCGGACGGGATATATTCTGTCTCTTATACACATCTAGATGTGTATAAGAGACAGGGATAGAGTTTATACGCGTGTGCGAGAATACAAGGTGGAAAAAGAGACGAAGGAAGAGAGAGAGAGAGAGGGAGAGTGAGCGAGAGGCAAAGGCTCGTCGGACGGGATATATTCTGTCTCTTATACACATCTAGATGTGTATAAGAGACAGGGATAGAGTTTATACGCGTGTGCGAGAATACAAGGTGGAAAAAGAGACGAAGGAAGAGAGAGAGAGAGAGGGAGAGTGAGCGAGAGGCAAAGGCTCGTCGGACGGGATATATTCTGTCTCTTATACACATCTAGATGTGTATAAGAGACAGGGATAGAGTTTATACGCGTGTGCGAGAATACAAGGTGGAAAAAGAGACGAAGGAAGAGAGAGAGAGAGAGGGAGAGTGAGCGAGAGGCAAAGGCTCGTCGGACGGGATATATTCTGTCTCTTATACACATCTAGATGTGTATAAGAGACAGGGATAGAGTTTATACGCGTGTGCGAGAATACAAGGTGGAAAAAGAGACGAAGGAAGAGAGAGAGAGAGAGGGAGAGTGAGCGAGAGGCAAAGGCTCGTCGGACGGGATATATTCTGTCTCTTATACACATCTAGATGTGTATAAGAGACAGGGATAGAGTTTATACGCGTGTGCGAGAATACAAGGTGGAAAAAGAGACGAAGGAAGAGAGAGAGAGAGAGGGAGAGTGAGCGAGAGGCAAAGGCTCGTCGGACGGGATATATTCTGTCTCTTATACACATCTAGATGTGTATAAGAGACAGGGATAGAGTTTATACGCGTGTGCGAGAATACAAGGTGGAAAAAGAGACGAAGGAAGAGAGAGAGAGAGAGGGAGAGTGAGCGAGAGGCAAAGGCTCGTCGGACGGGATATATTCTGTCTCTTATACACATCTAGATGTGTATAAGAGACAGGGATAGAGTTTATACGCGTGTGCGAGAATACAAGGTGGAAAAAGAGACGAAGGAAGAGAGAGAGAGAGAGGGAGAGTGAGCGAGAGGCAAAGGCTCGTCGGACGGGATATATTCTGTCTCTTATACACATCTAGATGTGTATAAGAGACAGGGATAGAGTTTATACGCGTGTGCGAGAATACAAGGTGGAAAAAGAGACGAAGGAAGAGAGAGAGAGAGAGGGAGAGTGAGCGAGAGGCAAAGGCTCGTCGGACGGGATATATTCTGTCTCTTATACACATCTAGATGTGTATAAGAGACAGGGATAGAGTTTATACGCGTGTGCGAGAATACAAGGTGGAAAAAGAGACGAAGGAAGAGAGAGAGAGAGAGGGAGAGTGAGCGAGAGGCAAAGGCTCGTCGGACGGGATATATTCTGTCTCTTATACACATCTAGATGTGTATAAGAGACAGGGATAGAGTTTATACGCGTGTGCGAGAATACAAGGTGGAAAAAGAGACGAAGGAAGAGAGAGAGAGAGAGGGAGAGTGAGCGAGAGGCAAAGGCTCGTCGGACGGGATATATTCTGTCTCTTATACACATCTAGATGTGTATAAGAGACAGGGATAGAGTTTATACGCGTGTGCGAGAATACAAGGTGGAAAAAGAGACGAAGGAAGAGAGAGAGAGAGAGAGAGGGAGAGTGAGCGAGAGGCAAAGGCTCGTCGGACGGGATATATTCGAAGCGGTGCGCCACACACATTTTCAACGGAAGGTCGTTATTTTACCGCGTGAATATCTCTCGTTTCGTAAATTTATTTTCGAATACTACGGATTAGTTTTGACGTGGACACATCGAACCTTCCCGATGAATTGTTGCAACCGGAACTAGTCGGAGGCTGCGACCACGGTGGTGTTCGTTCGTGATTCAGTTCGACTCGGGTAGTTGACTCGATTCTGGATAACCTGATTGCGGTTCACGGCTCGAAGTGTCAGCTCGTCGATAGGCGTGACAGCCCGTCGACTGGCTCGTCCGGCTTCTGGCCTCCGTTTTTCTTGGTACCACCGACTCGTGTGTGTCCGATACACAATGTTCACGGGAACGGTGAAGATCGAAATCTGCGAGGCAGTCGGACTGAGGGCCACGGACAAACAACGGAAGTTTTGGCAGGATGAACCTATACTCGACCCCTACGTTCAGCTGAATGTCGACGAGAATCATCTCGATCGATCATCTGCCAAGGTGAAAACCTCTGACCCGGCCTGGTACGAATCATTCACCTACAAAGTTCAGAACGCAGTGATGCTGGGTCTCACTGTCTTCCACGACGCGGGACCCATACTGCCGGATTACTTCGTCGCAAACTGCAGTATACCCTTCGCAGAACTCCTCAGCAGAAACGACCAAACCTCCGATATTTGGGTTAGTCTCAAACATTTACTCCTGAACTAATTTCATTCAAATTTACTTACTTACTTACTTACTTACGTATTTATTTATTTATTTACTTACTTATTTACTTCAAGTTTCTGTTACCGCTTTTTTCCTTAGTCACACTTCTATGTTTACAACTTCACATGTAAGAAACTGTTTATAAGTGAAGTTGGGAGTTTAGAGCTTTTTTAATATTAGTTATTTACACTGCAGTACTCATTATTGACATATGTAATGATAAAACAGTGTGTCATCAATGTTTACTATGACGTTTGGAACTGATTACAATGATAAGATTGTACAAATAGTTGACATCTCTGATGGAGGTGTATGCACTTTGCGAATGCAAAACTGTTATTCGTTGAAGTTTAATCGACTCGTTAAAATGGTACAAGTAAATGTGTGTGTGTGTGTGTGAAAGAATACACAAAGTACTCTAACTAGTAGTAATATTATTTATTTATTTATTTATTTATTTATCTATTTAATTGATGGGCCAAGACCCTTTGATGAACATACATAGAAACAAATATTAAGGATGGAGTTAGTTGTTCATTAATGATTCGGTCAGTGATGTCCTAAACTTGACAGTTAGTATAATAAAAGAATCAACTTTACCAGAGTAATTATACTAGCATCGCTGTATAATTGGGTAACTCAAAGTTATAAAATTCACTTCACATTTGCAAATTCAAACATCTTAAAATGTGATACATTTGCGTAGTTTTGTGTTTCTTGTGTACTGTCAATCTATAAAGTTATTAATGAGTTTTTTTATTAATTATTTTAGGTCGACCTTGAGCCACAAGGAAAGTTAAGAGTGAAGGTTGATCTGGTGTGCAATGACCAAGGTATAAGATTAATGATTAATAAATTATTTCTATATAGGCACTGACTTTATATTAATAGTGCTATTTTATGACTAGGTTGTAGTACAAGTAATGGAGAGGGAATCAGGATCGGTGGTGGAGGGAGTATCACTACCAGGAAAGAATCCAAAAGGGAGTTCAGAGAACGACAAGGTTTTAATCGGCGGAGGGGTGCAATGCGCCGTAGGATTCACCAAGCAAATGGTCACAAGTTTATGGCTACCTTTCTGAGGCAACCGACTTTCTGTTCTCACTGCCGCACATTCATATGGTAAGTGTTTTGGCAAACTTTAAGTATATCAGCTTAGAGACTATTTCATGAGCATATTCTAACTCTAACTCAAAGCATTTTACTAATTTAAGTTATTTTATTAGATAATTACACTTAATTTGGTGTGTTACGAGATATTATATTTTTACAAATTCAAAATTATAGTAAGAATAAAGTACTCAAGAATCTTGCACACGCCAAATTAGTATGAAATATGGGTATACATATTGGGTAATTTCGAGGGTGTTGAATTTGCATGTTTGGGTATTTGGTTTTTCATGATATGTTATTGTATCATCAAGAGAAATACAGCTTTTTAGACACATTACTTGGAACATTCCAAAATTCATTGCTATAAGGAATGTATAATTAATCATTTTCAGTTCATTTAATGGTGGAGCACAAAAGTGAGAATATAACAAATGCATTAGGTACATCCAATTGTAATTTCTTAAAAACTCTTCATTTTTCTTTCTCTTAAACATAGTAGAAAACATATAGTTTGTGTGTTGTTTGGAGATCAAATGTTCAACCAGAAATCGGCTGCATGTATTGGTTTTACAAGCGCATATTAAATGTATTGTTCGGTGAAGAAATTTTCATGTTAACGTGTTTGCTACCGCTATCTGTATTGGAAGACTGACCACTTGTTCTAGCAAGTCTATGTGTCATACATGTGTAAAATTGTACTTTCATGAGAATCACACATATGTAATGCGTGGTAGGTAACATGTTAACGTGATACCATAGTTTTTATGGAAGAAAATTTATCAGTACATTTAAAAAATGTATTACACAAATCTAAGGCATATATTACACATTGAGTAGCCATTATTTCCTTAATCTTCCTTGAAAGGCTATCGTAAGCATCTTATTATAGTTTATGGTCCAAGGAGACATACATATGTGTTTTACAAGGGTATACAAGGAGATGATGTGATGTGTTTTGTCTGTTGTATTTCAGGGGCTTGGGCAAGCAAGGTTATCAATGTCAAGGTGAGAAGACACATACACGTTATTAACAGATATATTATAATTATATATTTGCTTGCTCTATCTTTGTGTGAACCTACATTTATCTAGGTGTGTGTATGTGTACTTAGTTATTTTTTATAATGGGATTACAAAGATTTAGGATGCCCAAAATCTTTTCATGGTTGTGTTTCAAAAATTTAAACCTTACGTCTTTAATTTCGCCCATGGCTCAATACTCAATGCTGTGCTTTTTATAACATTTCTCAGAAAATGAAACTTAATGATTGTGATACATCGGTTAATATGCCACTGCAAATTATGTTAGCTTTGATTTAACATGGTAATAAACAGAAGAACTACTTCATTGCATGTCCTTAAGTACTGTGTAACAAATCATGGAGAGGTACCAAAGATTTCTTTTTATTGCATCCATACAATTCAGAACTTATTCTCTTTTTAATGTTAAAGCTTACATTATTCTTATGGCAAGACTATCACAACATCCACCAAATTTTATTTATGCTTGTTATTTCAAATCAATGCGTCTAATCACGCATGCAGCCAGCTTTGGTTATGCTATGTTCAATGTTAATTATATAAAAAGCATCTAGATACTATATTATTTATTATTATATTACAGTGTGCACATTAGTAGTTCACAAAAGATGTCACAATTCGGTTATTACGAGATGCCATGGCATGAAGGATGAGGTAAGTAAAATTTGTTTAATATAAAAATTATTTTGATGAATATTGAATGAATATCGCATAACTGTTGAATTTTAGACAACTCGTGATACAGAAAGTACACGGTTCAACATTGATGTGCCACATCGTTTTGTTCTTCGCAATTATAAGAGCTTGACATTTTGTGACCATTGTGGCTCTCTTTTGTATGGCTTTGTCAAACAAGGGTACCATTGCGAAGGTAAAATTTTTATGATTTTAAATTTTTCCGTACAAACAGATTATCCTTATATGAAACTGACATGCTTCTTTTTTACAGAGTGCAATACGAACGTTCATAAAAGATGTCAGAAAAATGTAGCAAACAACTGTGGTATAGATACAAAGGCTATGGCTGACCTTTTAAGTGAAATGAAAATATCCCCTGACAAACATACAAAATATCCAAAGAGTAATTATAAAATAACAACTCGACAACCTGCCCAAAGACCTCTAAATGTTACCGTAAATGATACGTTACCAACGGATAATTTACAACCAGTTATAAACGAAGAAGAGAAACAAATTATATCCATGAAACACAAAGTACCTGCTAATGAAAATCAAATTAGGAAGTTAGGCATAGATGACTTTAATTTCATCAAAGTTCTCGGTAAAGGTAGTTTCGGAAAAGTAATGTTGGTGGAACGGAAAACCAATCCGGACGAAGTTTACGCTGTGAAGATTCTAAGAAAGGAGGTGCTTCTACAAGATGATGATGTGGATTGTACTATGACAGAAAAGCGAATTTTAACTCTGGCAGCAAGACATCCGTTTTTAACAGCTATTCATAGTTGTTTCCAAACAAGCGACCGGTTATTTTTCGTTATGGAGTTTGTAAATGGTGGTATGTACTTAATCGATCATTGATTTCTAATATAATTAGTCACAACTCTTGTTTCATCAATTCCTTTCAATTTCAGGTGACTTAATGTTTCATATTCAGAAAGCTCGAAAATTTGATGAAGCCAGAGCACGTTTTTATGCTGCGGAAGTTACACTGGCGTTACAGTTTCTTCATAAACATCACGTTATTTATCGAGATTTGAAATTAGACAATATTTTGCTCGACCAAGAAGGTCACTGTAAATTAGCTGATTTTGGAATGTGCAAAGAAGGCATTATCGAAGGGGAAACAACTACAGCAACGTTTTGTGGTACACCCGACTATATCGCGCCAGAAATTCTGAAAGAATTACCATATGGTGCAAGCGTTGATTGGTGGGCACTTGGTGTATTAATGTATGAAATGATGGCTGGTCAACCACCCTTCGAAGCCGACACTGAGGACGAGTTGTTCCAAACTATTTTGAGAGAAAGTGTGGTTTATCCGGTATGGATCTCCGAAGAAGCCACATCGATCTTAGTAGGATTCATGACGAAAAATCCCAACGAAAGGTTAGGTTGTGTTGCAGCTAATGGCCGTGAAGAGGCCATAAAAGCTCATCCATTTTTTCAATCGATCGATTGGGATGCACTCGAGGCGCGTAAAATAAGGCCACCCATCAGGCCTAGAATCGTAAGTTTCTTTTTAACCACGTTGGTTTTCTAGCTTTAGTTCTTGCAAAAAAGTATTACAAGCTTGTTAGCTGCAAGTGAATTAAACTAATGTAGTAATCAACTGACGATATACAATATTTGGCTTTGTAATTTTCAGAGAAGCGACAAGGATACTATGAATTTCGACGCAGAATTCACAGGAGAGGATCCTGTATTAACGCCTGAGGATCCGGAAGAAGTAAGCTGCATCAATCAAGAGGAATTCCAGGGCTTCTCTTACGTGAACAAGGATTTCAATCCTGGGAGATTTACAGCGCAATAAGAAAGCGACGATTGAAGCACAGGATACGATGTTAATATCTTAACGCTTCTCGCTTAAAAAATTGGCGAAGACGCCAATCTGCAAAGCTGAACATCGGCGATTATGAAGCTGCTCGGGGTCTCCTTTGTATTTCGTCTCCGCTGAGGATCATTTTATCTATTACCAGAACCAACTTTCAAGTATGGAAACATTGCGGTGGAGATCGTTGAAGAATTCGGAAACTTCAGTCAGGCTTTCGACGCGTCTGTTTCTCACAAAACGTGGCGTTTTGGTATGGATATCGTGGCGTTTATTTAGCATAAACACAAAAACGCGATTCGGATCTGATCGCAGGTGTCTCAAGATATGGCGATAAGTCGCAGATTCCTTTTCATTTTCATGAAAAGCCAGAGGCAAGCGTGATCGAGAGGAAACGCCAAACGGGAGGTTTTATTTGAGATGTTAATTGAAAACAACGTACTTTGAACTTGAGTACCCGGTTAAAGGAATTAGTACAAAAAGGGAAGCTAGTAAAGAAAGACGCTCTTTGTTGAGATTGCAGGATCGCTGGGCGATCCGACATTTTCCGTTGAATTGATACTCTTCAAAAGGTGTGTGTAATGTAATACTATTAGAAAACTCTACGGAAGTATTAGAAGAGAACGGAGGATTTAAGTCGATAAGAATGTTGCAGCGACTTTTTGATCGTGCATTTCGTTTCCTCTCTGAACGCTTTTAGAGGACGTATCCCTCGACAAAGTATTTTATACCAGTGAAGAGAAAGGTGAAATTAATAGCACAGGAATGCTTCGAGTCTGAAAGATATGGAAAATATGTATGTCGTTACGACATCTTCTTCTTTATTTTTTATTTTTTATTTTTTTTTTTATTTAAATTGAACATTCGATTCCACTGAAATGAATCTGGAGGAAATCTTTTCTGACGCATAGACTCACGGTTAAATCTTGTCTAAAGACTTGACACTTATTAACGCATTTTCGTTTGTGTATTTTTTTCCTGGTTAGCGCTTGCACGCTGCAGGATAGTTTTGTTACAAATCATTCTTTTTTCAAACGCAACACAGATGATTAAGAAATCTTGCTTAAAATATAAATCGAGTCTTAGGTTTTTAGTGTAGTGTCGAATCACTAGTGATCAAGACTGAACGTAAGATGGGCTTAAGTTTTAAGTGAACAGCCGGCGCAATTCTAAATGTCGAGCCTGTATAAAAGAGAAAAATCTGTGCACATAGCATAAAAAGATACTATCGAAGGAAAACGAAACATGAGAAGTTACGGTCCAGTTCGAGCAAAAAGGTCTGGTATTTTCAAACGATCGAAACTTTTCGTCGAGCTTTACCCAGAGGAGCATCTCGCAGCGCTTCTCCGATAGGATTATAAATTAAATTTCTCATAAACAAAAACAAAACCACACAAGCCACTCAAGGACCATGGTCTCCTGGTGAAGATTGAGCAGGATACGATCTGACCAGTCGACCATGCGGTTTCATACTTAACATAAAAGTTTTAAGCGATCATAGACGCGATGGTGTCCACTGGTGGTCACCGTCAAAGTTATATAAGATATATATATGTATGTGTAAACACGCATATACCTATCTTAAACGATATGCCTAAACAAAAATTTTATGGACAAAAAAACGAGACTCGCGGTCACGTCCATTCGAGACGATCAGACATTTAACCGCGAAGAATTCTCAGTGTATCTTTGAGTTCTTGGTAAATGGAACTCTCTCTCTCTTGAAGAGTTAACGATGTGAAAGTCTACGTTAGCGGTATTGATGCACTTTCCAGAATCTTCGTACATGTTGTCTCTAGTTAGGTGTCAATAAGTCTTGCATCAAGCGGTGTACTTGAATTAGAAAAGCTGAAAGCTATGTATAGTATTTAAGCGGTGCAAAGTTATCGAGCCTTATCCGCAATGCGTAAAAACGCGAATCAGCGAATGATTACCCTTGGTCGGACGCGTAAATACTGGCTCGACTGGCTAACGGAGAGTTATATTATCTTCCCACGCGTAGGGAAACTTTTAAGGATCGAGCAGAGAATAAGAGGAAACAAAATACTCTATAAGTTTAGGCATGTTATTCGTCATCCTGTGTGCCGTCGAGTGTGCACTGAGCATTTCGGTTCAGACTTTCCATAGTGTTCCGCGACCGTGATACCGCCATACCGTGAATGAATCACATCTGGTTCCAGTTCCGGTCCCGGTCCGATGCGAAAATCCTCGGTGTAAACTACAGGCGTCGTTATTAGGTCTAAAGAGATGATTTAGTCGATATAGTAATAATAGAGTAACGACTAGTAATAAACGCGTTTAGCGGTCGAAAATCTTGAAAGGAGAGAGCTACGACGAGATCGTAAAGTAGCGCAAGAAAAATGAAAAAAATATTTTGCCGTGTCCGACGCGTAACGGGTCGCTGGGTAACAAAACAAATCAGCCCCTGATTGTGACGCAGCGGCTGGTCGACGCGACGGGACACGTAAATCGGTGTCGTGATCCTTATCGTCGTGTCGTACTCATACATTTTTATGTCCTCCGTAGATATTAGGTCCGTTTTAAGAGGAAACACCTGAGAAAATAAAAGAGAGAGAGATCATTGATAAAGAATACCTCTGTACTGTCCTCTACGTGGTTCGAGACTGTGCAGGACCCGAACCACGCGAGCTGGACAGCAACACTCGAGAGCAAAATGATGTTCCATGCTACGACGCCATCTCGTGTATTTGTCGCACGATCTTTAAGAGTTAACGATACGCAGGATGAATATCGTCAGTACAGGGAGAATTAATCAGGAGTATATATATAAATATATTCTCTCATTAATATCTTAATTTATACCTCAATTTAATTGGTATATATCTGTATATACACTCTTTGATTAAAAGTATATATATATGTGTGTATATATACATATATGTATACGGAACACTGTTCCTGCGAGAACAGTGTCGTATCCGCGACATCGATCATCGGTGAGCGATAATTGTTCGCTTGTAAATGTAGCTGATCGTACCTTTTTACAGCTTTTGCTTGTATAGCAATAATTACCGACCGGCGACCATAGTATTCTATTGATGCATCGACGGTCGCGTCGATATTCTCCGTGTACTGAATCCAGATCGTCGTCTCCTGGTCATCGATCATTTCATTCGAAGGAAACGTCGACCGTTTCTTATTGAAACAGGGGACTCGATATAACGGAGTATCGGTGTCGGAAATTATCCGATCGATCGGGATCGACGGTCAATTCGTTCATCCGCTTTCGTGCACTTATTATAAATCTAGTCAGAGCGAGGATACCGAGGAGACGAAGATTGGCTCGGCCACGCCGAGCCACGAAGGTCATGTTCACATTCAAAGGAGATGAGTTAGTCCGGCCTACGCTTAAAACAAACAAAAAAGACCGGTCGCGCGCGTTATTTCGACCGGAAATTACCGCTGTACCGTGTACCTATCGTCTAGGATTACCGTGTATAACAATTATCCCGTACGTTTAATGGAGAAAAGTAACAAAAAAAGAAGGAGGAAAAAAGATAGAGAGAGAGAGAGAGAGAAAGAACAGGAATTTTGTCGTCGCTAGGGCGCAGCGACATTTCGTTTTAAGTCTTACGTCCCGGTGCGAGTAGAAAAGTTTACGTGCGCTGTCTCAACGATTATCGTTTTCAACGTGCGATGTTATCCGGTTGTGTAGAAATCCGTTTTTGTCAGGCCAGAATCGACGCCGATCGGAAGGTGAGAGAGAACGATATGTGAGAACGTAACGATTGCCGTCCTGAACACATCGATACGACGAGCGAGAATTCAAATTGAACATCCATCGGTTTCTTTCGGCTTTACGACAAGAAAGTAAGCAATCGATTCGCGTGTTTCGATCGTGTCCCGTCGATATTGCACGGAAGAACATGTTTCGCGGACTGTGTGTTGAGCATATCTATCCAATCGACGATGCAACTCGTCGTCTTGTATGTATATTTCTTTTGTCCTTTGCCCCCTTCCCCCCTCTTTTCGTTTGACGAAGAAGAATGTGCTTGACGCACGTCGGTTATTTTGTTATTGTTATTAGAGAAAACGGTGGTCGAACTGACAAAAACGGACAAACGTTTCTTTTTCTTCGATTCATAAGAGTTAAAGGAACGTGTAACGTTTCGTTTAACATAATATTATTTATGTTGTTTCCGCAGTATTTATGTATGTAGTTCGTTTACATAATCGTTTTACATTTCGTGCAAATATTGACATCGCGGGCGGCCAAGCCGCGTTAACGTCGTTTTCTTTTCTTTTCTTTTCTTTTCTTTTCTTTTCGGTCTCTTTTGCTGCAAGATCGCGACTTAAAGAACATATTTGTACGTGTGTATGTATATATATATATATATATTTTTTTTGTTAGTCTCGTCGAACACGTGGATCGTTTTGCAAACGTTCTTTTTTTTATACTTTTTTCGTCTCCGTATTTTGTAATGTCCTTCTTTTCTCTAATCATAGGGAATCAACTAACACTTTTCTACTTAATTTTTATTTTATACGTTACGCGTGACATTCTCTGGCGATCGTGCTTGTCAATATCCAATTTTTGATGTAACTTTGTCGTTCGTATGTTTATTGAGGCGAACGAGAAAATCCGGGAGGGTGGTCTTTATATACTATACGCAGATACGTATATGTACGTTACGAGTACGTTACGTTTTCTCGTTCGGATTCATTTCCGTCAACAAATAATGATCGTTTCCTTTTCAATTCTCGAAGAGAACTATCGTCATCGATGCCGCGGTGTTTCCAAGTTGTACTTAATATCGGACAAATAAGAGGTGAAAGGGGAGGCTTATCGACAAGAAAGAACAAAAGGAAAACGCAAAGAAGTAAAATATATACTTACATATATATATACATATATACAGTTACTTTCATTAATATTCGGACACCTTTCAAAACGCAATAACTTTTTTAAAACTGGACTAAACGACTTGAATTTTTTTTTTAGACGATACAGGGACTGATCTACTAGACAATGACTAAAATGTTTTCTTTCTTAATTTTTCCATTGTTCGAAATGACGAAACAAAATGAAAAACTCTCGTTTTTTAACTTTTTTATTTGAACCTATAAAATTTCAATGAGATCGGTTAACGTAAAGCCAAGTTAGAAGCGCTAAAATATTTAAAAAAGAACTGCAAATTTCTCACACTTACTGGTCAAAAATGTCAAAAATCGGGACAAAACTGCGATTTTTGCGATCTTTAATTGCTTACAGCTCATACCAAGATCAACCGATTTCGATGAAATTTTCAATATGCATATAAGTTGGCGAGATTTACAAAACGCATTTTTTAAATTTTCATTATAAGCTCAAACAAAAAAGTTAAAAAATGAGTTCTTTATTATCTTTTGTTATTCTAAGCAATTACAAAATTTATAAGAAGCATTCTAGTTATAATCTCTCTAATAGACTGATTCATCTATCATGTAAAAAAAATTCAAGTCGTTTGGTGCAGTTCCAAAAAAGTTATTACGTTACAAAAGTTTTCCCAATATTAATGGGAGTCGCTGTATTTAGCGAAACTTACGGTAGCGTGATAGAAATAAATAAAACAAAAAAAAGTAAATTCTCTGTGGACGATAGTACTCTCGTCGTCAGGCCTGGGCATTAATTACTATTGGAACGTATGACGGAAGAGGAATGCGCGGCTAAAGTACTTCATTATCTAAGAATAACTTTTACTTAATATTAGAGATGGGAATTTGGATATTTGAAAATGATTTTCTCTTCGGATCGACGACCTCTCGAGATCGGACATCAATGTTAACATAGTATGTATTCTAAACGGAAAATCGAATATTTTCGAATTGCAAGTCTGAATGAGATGATGGCAATTATATGGCTCGAAGGTCGTAAGATCACGTTATCGTCATCGAATAATCGCTCTCAAATCGATTGACTCGAGCAAGGCCCAGGTCTCCTTATAATGCGCCGACCCTTCCCTCCCCCACCAACAGAAACAACCATTCGCCGTGATTTTTGTAATGACTAGTCAGTCGTGTTAAAATAGGATTCGTTATGTCGCGTGTCGTTATCGGCCATCGCGTATACACATATANGACGATACAGGGACTGATCTACTAGACAATGACTAAAATGTTTTCTTTCTTAATTTTTCCATTGTTCGAAATGACGAAACAAAATGAAAAACTCTCGTTTTTTAACTTTTTTATTTGAACCTATAAAATTTCAATGAGATCGGTTAACGTAAAGCCAAGTTAGAAGCGCTAAAATATTTAAAAAAGAACTGCAAATTTCTCACACTTACTGGTCAAAAATGTCAAAAATCGGGACAAAACTGCGATTTTTGCGATCTTTAATTGCTTACAGCTCATACCAAGATCAACCGATTTCGATGAAATTTTCAATATGCATATAAGTTGGCGAGATTTACAAAACGCATTTTTTAAATTTTCATTATAAGCTCAAACAAAAAAGTTAAAAAATGAGTTCTTTATTATCTTTTGTTATTCTAAGCAATTACAAAATTTATAAGAAGCATTCTAGTTATAATCTCTCTAATAGACTGATTCATCTATCATGTAAAAAAAATTCAAGTCGTTTGGTGCAGTTCCAAAAAAGTTATTACGTTACAAAAGTTTTCCCAATATTAATGGGAGTCGCTGTATTTAGCGAAACTTACGGTAGCGTGATAGAAATAAATAAAACAAAAAAAAGTAAATTCTCTGTGGACGATAGTACTCTCGTCGTCAGGCCTGGGCATTAATTACTATTGGAACGTATGACGGAAGAGGAATGCGCGGCTAAAGTACTTCATTATCTAAGAATAACTTTTACTTAATATTAGAGATGGGAATTTGGATATTTGAAAATGATTTTCTCTTCGGATCGACGACCTCTCGAGATCGGACATCAATGTTAACATAGTATGTATTCTAAACGGAAAATCGAATATTTTCGAATTGCAAGTCTGAATGAGATGATGGCAATTATATGGCTCGAAGGTCGTAAGATCACGTTATCGTCATCGAATAATCGCTCTCAAATCGATTGACTCGAGCAAGGCCCAGGTCTCCTTATAATGCGCCGACCCTTCCCTCCCCCACCAACAGAAACAACCATTCGCCGTGATTTTTGTAATGACTAGTCAGTCGTGTTAAAATAGGATTCGTTATGTCGCGTGTCGTTATCGGCCATCGCGTATACACATATACACACAGATACACCGGATATCACGTGACACCTGTCCGTTATAAAATGAAGAAAAATGCTTACTGTCGACGTCGCGTCAATGATGTAAAATAAATAGGCCAACAAGTGGTATATACATTTAACAAGAAAAAAAATATATATATATATATCATAAAAGAAGATCATAAAAGAGAATTAATATTGTTGCAATATAGAGTTTTAAATAGGGTCGCACGTGACTATCGACGGTGGTACCTTTCCTTTTTAGGA